AAACAGATGAACACGCATCTACATTGCACTATCGTAAATGCACCCTGGTGGCTTGCGCTATTGTGGATTCCCATCAAAGGAGCTGCTGGCTCGGCGGCACAACAACTCTGAATCCTGCTGGGCGCGAGGCCCGAGGGCTGACTGTGGGAAGTAGAGATTCCTCAGTGTCGGGGAGGGGACCAGTCCGAAGACAGGTGTGTGATGTTCACGGAGAACGAAGTGGGATATCAGAGTCTCGATGAAGATCATATCTCATAAGCCGTGATTCATAAAGAAGTTCGGTAATGCCGTGACAGGAACTATCCTCAACCCGGTTTCTCGGGTATTCCGCGACGACTCTGGTAACGCGGATAATGGGCAAAAGGATTGGTGAAGTCGATGGGGAGATGATCGACATGATAGGCGCGGCCCTCATTACTCCACGAATTGGAGAGATCGGAATTGGTTCGTATGCGGTCGGGCGGTAGATGTTCGAACATGGCGATTGAGACGTCGTCGGCATCCATGCGGGAAGGTCTGCGCTGGATGGCGCTGTGGGTGGCATGGGTCACGTCGGAGGTTACGCGGGTTGCGTCGACGAAATCGGGCAGGTCGCGTGGCGCCGAGAAAGATTCGGGTTTCCAGACGTGGTTGTGTACCAGGTGGATGAGTTTACCGAGGACGGCGAATTCGAGCTTCAGCTTGATGCTGTATACGACGCCTTTCAGCATGGTTTCCATGATGTAGAAGTCCAAGTACTCGGCGACGAGTAGGCCCAGGTCCAGAATGATGATGATGAGGTTGATGACGAGTAGTTGGTACTGGATCTTGCGCTTGATACGGTCCGGGTCTAGGCGTAGCATGCGGACTGTTTCCCAGATGTATAACCCCGAGATGATGAATTCCTGTATACAGAAGCCTGTCATCTGGATCTTTTCCATGATGTTGTAGGCTTTTGTCCACAGGGTGGTGTCGTTGGCCATGTTGGTACCGTAGGTGAGGGCGGTAGTGGGTAAATGGAGGATGATTGCGTTAACTATGATCATGATCAACACGCGACGTAGGACTCGCTGGTTTGATACGACCAAGTGGAGTCGCGAGTATAGGACAATTGACTGGCCGGTGACCATAGACCACCATCCAATTGTGAGCAAGGTGACAGGGAACCATGCAATGTCGTCGGTGATTTTGAAGAATTTGAGTAAGAAGCCCAGTGAGTAGGGAAGTAGACCAACGGAGGAGGAAATAAATAAACTCCAAAAGTAGAGACCTCGGTATTCGGCGAAGGTGACGAAGAGAAGGATCATTAGCTCGAAGGCATTGTACCAAGTGACACCGGCAAGAGTTGCGATCGTGATCTTCATACCCAGGGAAGTCCCTTGGTAATGACCACTGATGCCATTCCCGGCAGCAGTGAAATCGCCCATGGCGTTGAGTATTAGGGGAATAGCATGGCTTGTGTAAGTGTGTATAGGGAAACCCTGGAGACTCGGGGGGAGACTGGGGGGGGGAGACCCTAGAAAAGGAATAAAGACATAAGGAAATCAAAGAACAGAGGAAAATCCAAGAAAAGAGAACAAAGAGGCCAAGCTGGGGCGCATTTGCATGCGGGGGCCGATCGTACCCGGACTTGCAGATTATTATATTTTCATATAAAAGGTAGTTAATAGTAATAGTAATAGTAACAGTAACAGTAACAGTAACAATAATAAATAATAAATAATAAACCAAAATGGGACACGAACATGAGAGATCTAAAAAAGAGAATATGATTGGACCTATCTCTTTCTGATATCCTACCTAGGTATATTGTCCACTGTTATATTGTGTTACCTATCTACTCAGTACTCGTCTCCTTCTATATAATATAATGGACTTATCTCATCTCATCCCCAATTCAGGGGCATAATGAAAATATCTCGGTAAAAAGTCACGGTTAAATGGGTTGCAAGCCAAGGCTTTTGGGGGGGGCATTTCCAGCATTTCCAGCCTCACTGCCAGGATTATAGCCCGCTTTCAGTGCGCCATGGAGAAAATCTCATTTCTTAGCGGAAAGCCTCTTTTTTCCCATCGATCTGTGGGATCAGATGTCTTTCCTCTCTCTTTGTTCTAAGTCTCGTATACAGTGGACATTTAACAAAGACAGGACATGCCCACCCATGGACAAGAGAGTTCCCCTCTGCTCTGGCCTGGGCAAGACTTTGCTGATGTCATCGGGAGTTGGCGCGTGACCTACTGACTAACACAGCCCTAGTTTCCCCCGAGTCTCCCTATTAAAGATGAGGTCCACTATTAATGACGAATCAGATTGTGATTTCTACCAGACTCATTCATAATACTTCATCCAATGATGCTTTTCCCGGAATCCAAGCAGCTCCTTAATTTTCCGATTACAGATGGGAGCCTCTCTGGCCCCCAACTCTCGCGTAACCGGGACACCAGGGCAAACCCGCGCTAGGAACTCGGCTGTGTTCTCGTAATTCGTAATTTCGTCATTGACCGCATTAAAGATCTGAAATCCAAGTCCATCCTTCTGGACGGCACGATCACACATCTGCCCGAGATCACGAGCATCAATGTACGCCCAGCCATGCGGCCCCCATTTCTCCGGATTCTCAACATATGATCGGAACATGGACTGTTTGTACTCCTCGGGAGCGACAATGCGTCCAATGCGCAAGATATAGATGTCACTTCCATACCGACGCGCAAAGCCACGCGCAATGCTCTCACCGCATACCTTCGAGATAGCGTATGTGTCCATCGGGTTGGCATCGACGGTTTCATCCACCGGGAAAGAGGGATAGTCTACATCTCCCTCTGCATAACTCACGCCGTAGACAGTGATGGAGCTGGCGATGATGATCTTTTTGATGCCGAGGCGCGAAGCGCCTTCGATTATGTTGTACATTGCCGAGGTGTTGCTGCGGAAGGTTTCTTCGTCTGGAACGATCATGTTGCGAGAATACCCGGCCATGTGAATGACTGCATCGGGGACTAGCCCCAGTGGTTCACGAAAAGGCTCTGACAGGTGGAAATGAGATCCTAGTGCGCTGTAGACCTGTCCGGTGTTGGTCAGGTCCACGCGCAAGGTGTGGACTCGCTCTTCCAGCTCGGCGGGAAGAGGAACGAGGTCGAGGTTTAGGAGATCATGGCCTTGTTCGAGGAGATATCTGATAATGTGCTGTCCGGCTTTGCCCGAGCCTCCAGTGATCACAATCCGTTTTCCCATGTTGTAGGAGGGGCGGATAATGCGGGGTATAGATGATCAAGGTATCTATCTCTGTGTGGACAGATGTAAACGCTGTAGATGGTGACTACTCAGGATAATTTATCTTGGGATGAAAAACTCTCAGATGCGTTGGAAGGGACAGCCATTTGGCTGTACGCGAAGCGTGGAGCCGGAAGATGACATCCCGAGGTGTTCGGGCCGACAAAGATGGAACGAAAGATTCCGGATGAGTAGTATGACACCCATTGCTAATTTACAGGAACACTCAGTTTAGGCGGCTTTTGTACTCGACGTGAGACTTGAGTGATTGACAGTAGAGACGTATATAGAATAATACATACTGTGCATGATGTCTTTAAGCCGGAGCGGTTAACCCACATAATCCGCAGCATAATTTAGGGCATACAATTTTGATTTAAAAAAAAACCCCCCCCATTTTAAATTATAATTCGATTTAGATATGGCCAAAGACAGCATGGGCGCTCTCATTGACGGCTTAGCCTTGTTGGCGCCACTAGTTGCTTACCTGCCCCGATCGCCCGTTGTTCAAGGCAAATCTCATCCCATTGGATATGTTTTTGTCGGTTATACGGGCGAAAAGTGCCAAGTATGCATGGCCCTCACCGACGATCGACAAAGATGTACAATATACATACGTTTGCACGCTGATTGCAAGCACAAATTCACTCCAAATGTGTCCGATGTGCAAGCTTCGTTACTCTTTCCAAAGATTACTATGGGACTCACAATGAGTTATTGCCTATAGGAAGGCTTGCACTAGGAGGGGGCTGAGAATGTTCCCGTCTCACCTCATGCGGGGTTTACCCCAGATCACACACAATAGCTTTTGTAAAAGATGTAGTTTCTGATTGGTACTGCAATTATCCACAGTGTTCACCCGGGCAGAAGCCCCAGTACATCTCGCGAGTCACGTTTATGGAAATGTACGAGCTGGATACCCGAGCTAAGCCAACATCCTAGCCCGGCATTCTGTGTTGCGGACCTAGCAGGGTGTAGCAAATCCAACTTCCTTGTTTTGATAGGTCGGGGAATATGAGCTATCTCTTCCAACCGTAGTCAATACTAGTTACCGCCAGTAAATTGACAGCATTCTCTAGACCCATCGAAATGAATCTATTCCCAACAGGCCAAAGCAATTTGAGCCGTCCGAATCCAGAATATCCAACACCCCGTGGGCCTTGAGGAGCTGATTATATGTACCAGTTGGAATGGTCTCCGAAAGAAAGGTTTGGCGTGGTCTTGAATAAAGAAATAATATTAATATGGTGTGGTAATGGGCGGTCTGAGCATGATATCACCGGGTGATCACGGTGATGATGAAATCTCACACCTGCTCTGGCTACGTATCCTGCTTGACATCATGGTCACCCAGCGAAGAGCATACAGAGCGTATTATAATGAATATATTCACAACAATGCCTTGGATAATGTGCTCTTGCGTATGGTCTCAGCTAGAATATCAGCTACGGCCTTCATTCCATCGAGGTTCGGATGGAGAAGCGGCCCTGATTCAAATCCTCCAACCCAGGGTTCTCTGCTGCCAAGTGCATGTTCCTGGCTGAGTTGGTGAATTGGGACTGTCTCGCACCAATCGGTTCGACCTTGCACAGCAACAGAATATGCATGTTGTAGAACATCCGCAACACCGCGATAATGTTGGATTCTCTCCTGGGTCAGCGGGATATCCCGACTAGCTTGGGTACCAGGTCCCAGAACAGCAAGATATTCAACAAGGAAGATTCGAGCTCCCGGGGCCCGTTTGTGTATCTCATCGAGGACTCCCCCCTAACCGTTCTGCCAATTCGCTCGGTGATAGTGACACGGACGATTGGAGCTCGGCATCGCAAGCATCGGCGATCATGCCGCCAATGTAGTTTATATCGTTTCCTCCAGCGGTCACGGTGATGATATTGGAATCTTCGGGCAGGCCGGTGATTTGCGGTGGGAAGGTCATGTTGAAGGGCGTAGCCTGTGGTTCGACTGTTATGTTGAGCAACGTTGCACCAGATACGGATAGATCAGTGAGATCAGCATTCAAGTGCTGCGCCAGAAGATGGGGGTAGTTCTGCCCTGATCGCAATGCGGCACGTGGTTCGATTTGTGGGGGGATGTCAGGACCAGCAGCGAAAGAGCTGCCTAAGCTTGCAATTTTGAGTTTCTTTGGAGATTCCATATTTAGATGTGCCAGCAAATAGAGGAGCGAGGAGCAGGAAAGCAGAAACTTGGAGTTGGGAAAAGAGCTTCGGCAGAAACCAAAGTGGATGCCTAAAATGTTAGGCCTCAATTACTCCGCCCAGCTGAAAGCCGCCCTGCAGGTGCCGGGGTCTCGGCGGGGCGCAGGGGCCTGTGACCCGTAGCACTGGCTGGCCTCTGAGCCCTAGGGATTTGGACAATCTCCAATGCCGTTGTAAATTTATCTTGTTTCATCATGGAATAGTTTCTCTCACAACTCGTTGGGAATGTGAATATCGCATTGCACATGAGTAAACGTGAAATCCTCGACGGTCTGGCGGTTGGGGCGCCTAAATATCCTCCATAACAAAGACCACCGGAAAAAGTAGGCTCGGGATTGTCAGATCTCGACGTCAGCTTCTTTCTTTGGGAACATGCATCTAGAAATAATCCTCTTGGTGGGTACATAGGAGGCCTAATCTGAGGCCCCTAACGCCCAATTTGTTGGGTTGTGAATGGGTCTTACAATATGCTGGATATTCACCTTTGAAGTTATGTACCATGTATAGAAATCATGTCTTGAGGTCCTACCACGTGTAAGACATGAGGCTCAGCCGTGCCAGCAATTAGTGGGGTTGTTTCCTACGTGTTCCATTCATATTGTGACATCAACTAACATAGCATTAGCATCTAGGAAGTCTATTTCGAGAGATCATGGCGGAGTGACCACGAGAAACCTCAGTGTGGGATGCCTTATCCCATAGCCTATGCTTAGGTGAAGTGGAAGGTCAACAGCTAGGCGTTGAGAAAAGACTTAAATACCTTCGTTCCTTCTGTTGATGCTTTCCATCTATTCTCATCCACACAAGTCTCAATCAAACACCTTTCAGGTCCAAATATCGAACATTTTTATTTCAACACCTCTTCCTCCAACAATTTGATAAACCACCAAATTGCAAACATGCAGATCTCTCAGCTTCTTCTCGCAACCGGCCTCTTCGCCTCCTCCATCTTGGCTGCCCCTGTCACCAGCTCCAATTGGACCATACTAGACATGAAGCGCGTTTGCAATGGTGAAAACACCTCCTGCACCTGGACCTTCGGCATCAACTCCGGTTTAGACATTACCGACTGTACCTTTATCGTGGAGGCCACCGATGCCTCTCACGCTAACGGAGGCCCGAGTACATGCGGCGCATACACCGTCAGCTCAGGCTGGAGCGGCGAGTTTGATCCTACCAACGGCTTCACTACCTTGTCCGTTGCCAATGAAGAGACCGGCCAGATAATCTGGCCTGCCTACACCGACGAGCAGCTTGCAGACGGAAACGTCGTCAAGCCCGACCAGAGCTACCCTCCCACTGCTTTCCCTTGATTGAGGGAACAATCCGAGCAACATAAATATGGCTGATATTGCCAGTTTAAGCCGTGAACACTTTTTCCCATCAAAGCTACACAGTCCTTTAATTGTTGATGTACGACGTTTTTTGTACTTAAGTTTGGTTTTAGAAGAATGAAACGCGCAGGCTGAATGAGGCATACATCAAAACCTTATGCTCTTTAATAACAATTGAGTTGTCATGTTTTTGGAACACACCAATGTCTATCCTTTGCCTGTTTAACATTGGGCTGGGAGTACATAAGGATGCGGAGGCTCTCTTGGAGGCAGGAGCCTAACCACAAACATTTCTTGTTCTTCCCTTAGCCTCAAAGCAATGAACTCGGTGCCATTTGCCATTGATCTCCCACCCTAAATCCCTCCGGGAAGGGGTCACTCGAATCAAGAACTACTTGCTTGAAACTAGTTATCCAAGCCCTCCCAGCAACAGTCGGGAGAACAGCCTGATATCCGCCGACTTGCGTGGTTCCACGAATATGACTGGTAAACTCGGTGCCAATAATACTGCGATGTTTGAAAACCTCCCGCTCCGCCAGCTGACCCCTCGCATGCAGAACAGCGAGTCGAGCACATGTGCCAGTACCACAAGGACTGCGATCAAACCGCCCTGGTGAGACAACAACGGTGTTGACAGCAGCTTTGCAACCGTTCTCTTCTACGAGAGGCTCCGTGAACGCCAGGATACTGACTCCCTTGATTTTAGGATTCTCTGGGTGAACAGGGGTGTAGGAAGCTTGGACCGCACGTTTGATACGCTCGCCAATCTCAACTAGCTGCGTGCTATATCGAGATTCCACTTTCAGTCCCACGGAAGCTGCAGCCACCAGCACGTACATCATCCCTCCCCAGGCAATGTCAACGGAGACTTCTCCAAGGCCAGGAACCAAAACTTGATAGTCCAGCTCGAATACAAAGGCGGGTACATTGTCAAATGCCACACTCTTGCATTTTCCTGCTTCGCATTTTGCTTCCACGGTAACCAGACCGGCGGCGGTGTCCAGTGTCAGCTGGGTGATGGGCTCTTTCATCGGGACCATGCCGGTCTCCAGTAGCACGGTCACGGTGCAGATTGTGTTGGATCCCGACATAGGTGCGTATTCTTCGCTTTCCATGATCAAGAACCCAGCATCAGCTCGTGGATCACAAGGTGGTAGGACCAAATTTGTGTTCATTGAGCACCGGCCTCGAGGCTCGTTGAGTAAAAGCTGACGTATGTTGTCTTTTTCGTTCAAGAAGTGGACTAGCTTGTCGTACATTGTATTGCCAGGGACATCGAGGACTCCGCCAGTAATCACATCGCCGACTTCACCCTCGGCGTGGCATCCAACGACTGTCAATGTACGCGAAAAGGGCATGGTATTAGGTCGGCGGCTATGTTTTATTTCTGTTTCGGTAGGACACGGGTCTCGAAATAACGGTTATTCAATTGGCAACTGAATATTGGAAAGGACAAAACCGCAAGATATTTCCAGGCACTGGTATATTACTGGAGTAAAGCCTTCCACTTCAGCAAAAGTCGGAAGACCATTTAACTTAGAATACGGGGTGGACTCTACCCAAGGACCTATAATTGCTTTTGTGGTGCTTTTGACACGGATTATCTATATTGTACAACATAGTTACTGTGTCTAGCGCTTCTAGCGCTACAGGCTCCCATTTCCTAAAAGCTGGCGAATAGTAATCGGGCGAAAGGTGTCGTCGTGATTGATTGACAGGATTATCCACACAGGTGCATGAAACAGGGAGGCCCAGGCCCTAATCGAGTGTCAGGTGAGAGAACAAACATTAGCATCGTGAACTACACCTGGGCATAACTTGAACCTGCATATCTTGGCTACTCCGTATATTTGGGGTCTCATCTCTCCATTTTGGGGTAATTCTGCCGATCAAGTGACTGATCGTACTATTATTGTACTATTATCTAGATGTTTGCGCTGTGAGATGGACCCCACCTGCATCGCATGCAAATTGGAAGCGAAGTTGACCAGGCTGTGTTTGCCCCATATCGAGAACAAGCAAGTTTATTCATTTTTGGAGAAAAATACGCGGCGAATATCCGGCCAATAAGTCCACACTAGAGTTGTAAAAACGGTGGTTGGTATAGCAAAGACCCAGTAAATCCAGAACTTATTCGACATAGACCAGCCGGAGTCCCCGCCGAAATCAAAAAATGACGTGCTGAAGATAGCGCAGATGAAAGTAGGGGGGAGGAACGTAAGTGTAACAAAGGCGATCGTTTTCATGGTGGCACTGTCCAATTGAGTCGCCCGGCCAATTTCAAGAGTAACGCTGGCATCATGCTGAGCCACAGTATTGAAAGCCAACTGGATTTCGTTTTGCAGTCTCTTTTCATTTGAAATGGACCGAGATCGTAAGTTGACAATGAAAGACTGCCAGGATCGCAGACGAAGATGGATATCTTCGGAAGCGGGAGAAGTATTATCTGACTTCGATTCTGTATAGCCCTCGTGTTGCATCAAGATATGCTCTATATTTTGCACGCCAATGTCGAGTGTTTCGTTCACATGAATTGCGTGCCGGGCGATATCGTGGAGTCGTCTGTAGTCGGGCTGTGGTCTCCCTTCTGGTTTCCCTTCTGTCTCCATCGATCGAACATGATCTCGGATAGCCCATACAGCGGGCTCCTGAATAAGCGCAATGTGCTCGACTAAATGCGGATAGACCCAGAATGGGTCGTTGAGCCAGCTTTCTTCCGCTTTCATCACTGCTTTTAGGAAGCGTTCTTTGATGGGCGGGTCGAGGTCGAAGGCCAGGATGATACTTTGTTTAGTTGAAGGCAGCCATCGTGTGAAAATATTTGGATGATACCATTTGAATCTGGTATCATGGTCTACCTTTTTCACGGAGAATCTGGACCAGGTATCTAAAGAAATTAGTGCTGCCCGGGCATTCATCTTTAGCGTACTCACTGAAACCAGTCTCTACTCCTGAATTTCGCGTTCTTTCACACCCAAAGCTGCCGTTTCCCTGAAGGAAATGATATGACCACCAAAAATGAGGCATACAAAAAGCATCGGCGAAGGCTTGTCGACATTGTGAACATCTCCCAATCTCGGTGGAGTCGGCCACACTCACCACGTTAGGGTGCTTCTGTAGATTTGGTTGGGTTCACATACATGATACATATATTAGACCAAGCAGGAATGGTATCAGAAAGGTCGTTTGGATCTTGAAAGTGGAAGTTCGTCCGCCGAGTTTGTCGCCAATCGCCTGCATCTCCTTTGTTCCGCTGCAATATTAGCAGATCAGCACATGGTTGTGACTTCTGCTCCTGCATTTTGCTTTCATTTATATTTTGAAACTCGGTTTCGAGGTCGTTTTAGAGAAATCATAAGGAAGAGCAAATCTCACTGAGCGGGGGGGAAGAGAGTCGCTGAGAGGGGCCGTGCCCCTCAGCCTCAAAAGTGCAGCGAAATAGATTCAAGTCGAGTTCACATTTATATTGGAGCTTTTACCAAATATCTTATTTTACTATTTACCAGGCTGATGAGCGAAACTCATCGTCCATTGTTGGTGGCCCAACATACTTCTCGTACCCCCAAACCCAGTACCACCCAGAAGCAACTAGTATGAACGCAACGAACACCACTGGTGCGTAGTTGACCGTATTTGCAGCAACAGGGATTGAAGAAGGCATGCAAAATAATGGAATGACAAGAATACACCATCCTAAAAACGAACATGCGATTAGCCATGGCAATAAACCCTGCTAGATTGTCCATACTTACCCAGTGCCACAATGTTGCAAACCAACCCGAGTGTGCCAAGGTCAAACTGACCATTCTTTATGTGTCGTCGACCTCCAGCAAGCGACACAACAATTGGACAGACGTAGCTGACAGTCAAGGTAATAACTCCGACTCCTGTGAAAGCATTGAATGCAGTAGTTGACCCGAAGTAAATAAATCCAAGCAAAATCTGAACGACCATGCCAAGCATCATAGCATTAAAAGGTACGCCGTCCCTGTTTACCTGCCTCCACCATACGGAGCCTGGTATACCCCCGTCACGAGCAAACGCCCATGTGCTTCGGGAGACAGCCGTGGTACAGCCTATGACACAGAACAGTGAGAGCAGTATCAATGGCAGGAGAAGCAGGAATGATCCAACCGGACTTCCAATAGCGGATTTGATAATACTCGGAACTGGTTGACCAGATTCGAGGGCCGCCAAAACCTTTGTGTCGGGGAGCACAAAAACCAAGGGAACTAGGAAGAGAAATCCGGCCAGGGTGTTCAGAATGACAGTTCCAACCATTGCTTTTGGGACTTGTGTTGATGGTTCTCGAACTTCTTCGCACATACTTTGAAGAATCAGTTATGGGCTTCTCATGGTGGAGAATAAGACGGGAGATATTCCTCCAGGGTGGAAACAAAATATATCACCTACCAAATCACCATGCCAGTGGAGGAAGTGGTATAAGCCGCCTGCAAAAGTCCAACGCAGAAGGACCAACCTGCTGGCCAACCAGATGCAGGCTCAAAACTAGTAAAGACATATTCGGCGTCATGTCTGCCCTCCTTTGCAATTGCAAGAACGCATATTACAATAGCCAACACCCCTGCAAGTGTCCAGAATATTGCGAAGGTCTAGCTTCGTGTTAGCAGGGTGATGTCACAAGTGTTGCTTGGACATACGTCAAGATATGGTAGCCATTTGTTACCAAAGGCGGATATTGCGTTAGCAAGAAATGTGACTGCAAGAAATATAAGGAAAACTTGGTATGTTGTCGCTTGGAAGATTCCCACCCCTGGAGCAGATTCGAAAACGTTGATACAGGAAACGAAGAAAAGAGTACTCCCAAGGTTGACTGCCAGTGTGATGGTGATATTTCCAACAACGTATGACCATCCGCAAATCCACGAGGCGATTCTTCGATATGACGGTGGAGATAGCATAAAGGTTTGGTAGTAGACCCCTCCGGCAGTTGGATAAACCGAGGTTATCTCGCCAAGTGAGGCAGCCACACAAAGGGTAATCAAAGAGACGGCAAGCCATCCCCAAATTATGTTGACGGGGCCTCCTCCAATAAGAGGGTAGGTGAAAGTCGTAGCCAGTCCGTATGGAATTGCCGCAAGTACGAAGGACATGAAAGCTACCTGAAGCGTGGAGCGGTTTCGAACGAGTTCAGGCTCATATCCAAGGGCTTCCAGTACACCATTTGCTGAAGTTTGTTTGCCTTCTTCAATGCTGGGAAATTGTCCAGGTGGATGGGGCTCGGAGCCTTTGTTCTTCGAAGAATGCTGCTGGGGGACGGTGACTTCGTCTGCCATGATGGAGGTTTGGCAAAAATGGGACAACAAAAAAACGTAGAATCCCCTGGGATGAAGAGGTATGGATCAAAGCTAGGTCAAAAGGCTGAGCTTCTGGCAGTCAAAGCTTGGATATAGTCGAGTATCCACGCCTATAGAGGAATTTTGGATATGATAAACATTAGGAACTCAGGGTGTTTATCTCCTATTCCGGCGAGGGGAGTCCCGTGCGCAGCTACTCATAAACCTTAAGCACATTGACAAGAGAGGACGGAATTCACTCAAACCGTCATCCCATATCTCTCCGAGGCACGTTTATCGCAGTGCATAGCGACCATTGTGGACATTGGTCTTTTATTGCCAGCGGAGAATTGACCTATATAATTTTCTGGGCTAGTACGGCGTAATAATTGGTTGAAACGTCGACAATATTATATTGGACTAACTGGATATATATGTTATCAAGCTCCTACATCGTTAAATAGAGGCCGTGTAAACAGACGACTACTTCGCTTCTACCAAAATGACGAGCCCACCATAAGTCCACAGGCAGTCCCCATCAGGTTGATATAACTACTGAATAACAATTGGAGTATTTCATGCTGTAAGAAGACGGAGACTCAAACAGTGAATGATAAGAGCCAATAGGACCCAAGTCCGCTGTGGTCGCTATACACTGCGATACACGTTCCCAAACAAAGTATGTATCCACCAAGTGGAGAAATGGAGTTATGCCGAGATAACGCTTGATAGCAGATTTCAATGACCTAGGCAACCACATATGACGTGAAGATAAGACGAGCAGGAGATTGGACAGACAGTATGCCGAGCTGAAACATCGATGATCCTCTCCGCATTTTACCTACCCAAACTAGTACAAAATTGGTTAGAGTTTTGACGCTAATGCACGGCGGCTACGCTATGCCAATTATGGCCTTCATGTGGGTCCTGGCGGTCCGGACTTGTCCTGAGTCTTCCCCTAGGACTCATATTGTGAGGAATGTATGGATATAAATTAGTATTGATTAGTTTAGGAGCTCGTATAGGTAAGAGTAATCAATTGATGCAGCTCGGTAGTTGACATTTGTAAAAGGGTATTGCCAATATCGAACTCCCGATAGGCTATGATCCTAACTTCAATAAATCTTGCCGGCTGGAGACATCCGTTCAACTTTCCCCTCACACTACGGAGAAAGCTAAGTGAAATGAAAGGATTTGGACTTCTCCACATATATGACGTCATAATAAGTCACGGCGCGGAGAGGAATCAATTCAGAAACGGTGCCATTGACTAATAGTTAGCACTAATACCTGCCTAGGTAGGTAGTCCAAGGTTAGACGGGTATGCAGGTACCTAGGTAAGCATTACGTTTTCCCACCAAAAGCGAAGTGAATAGTGGATGGCTCCTTCCCGAGAATTGTGCTAGAATCTGCGCAGTTTTTGAAAAAAAATCCTACAATATCAAAACAACATACGTCAACTGGTACATACACGTACCCATATACCCAATATTGTCCTTGAAAGCATTTGTACTTGATACCGACCAGGTTAGTGATATGTAACTTGCAACTTGCCAGGTGTACATCTCCCCTGCCCAACTTTGGGCATGCTGATGGCCTTAAGGTCATTCCCAAATGAGATAATTCTTGCTGCAATGCTTGGCACGCCGATCACGCGCATAGAAAAGGCGCTAGTTCGCATTAAGAAAACGAACCCGCCTCAAAGCGTATTGTTGGTCCTTTTTTGGATTAGCGCGAAAGGAAGGTGCGGGGGAGATAAACTTCGGGAGCGAGTTACCTCCTGGGCAACCCCAGTAATCCCTCTTCAAACCAATCGGTGATGATTTATAGCCAAGTGAGGCGTTGCTTATCGGCAGGTGATCGGCTCCCGGTTCATCCACCGGCCTTCGAATTCTTGGATCGGCTTCCCACCCGATGCCCCGCTATCTCAGACTGACGTTTTTCCCTCTCTCAGCGAAGCAACATACTCAATATATTTGCTTTGAGTAGAATGGAAAACACAAAGGGATTGCCTTCCCCGCAGAAGAAAAGGCAGAATCCCAACCGGTGCCGGCCAAAATCGAGAGGGGGCTGCCAAAGGTGCAAGCAGCGGCGAGTAAGTCGAGGTGAAAGATGCACAGTTTCTCCTTCATTTATGAAGGCCTGCTTTGGATTCCAAATAGCTAATACTTATTCAGCGCAGATGTGATGAGACGAAGCCAAGTTGTCAGGAATGCACCAAACGAGGACACACGTGCCCCGGTTACCAAAAGCAGAGCTTGCAGTGGCGCTATGCTTTCAAAGGCAGCGGAGAGGCACATCAGCCAGTCCCACCGATTATTGAGTCTCCCGGCACAATCGCGACCGAATCTTTCGACGTGAACAATCCAACAGACGAGAAAAAAGACAATATCCAGAATGAAACCCAGAATATCTGGGATACGGCCTGCCCAAACCTCTTTGACCAGCTACCGAATTTCGACGAGCCAACAGATGCCTGGTTTTATGTCGAGCCGGCTTCTAATGGTACGGCTCTAGGCAAGTCTGATGGCGAGGTGGACGGGTTGTCGATTTTGCGTCAACGACTGGCCCATACATCTGTCCCCTCCTTTCTCATCCAACTGCCAGTAATGTTGGTGCAATATTACTTTCATACAGTTTGTAACCAATGGTCATCTTTCGACTGCCCCCTTAATCCTTTCCGGACCATTATTAGCCGTCTCTGGAGTCGAAATGCGGCGATTTACTTTGCTATACAGAGCATGTCGGCTGCCTCGTTGGCCAACGATTTTCCAACCATGCAAGCCATCGGAATACAGACACAACAGCAAGCAATTGCGTGTCTGAATAACAGTGTCCAAAAGGGTTCCACTCAGACAAAGGATGATGAGTACTTTCTGGCACTACTCATGATTGGATCGACCACTGCGTGGCACGATGCTTCGGATTTGGGGCTTCCATATCTGAGAGCAGCCCAAGACCATCTTCTGAGACAAGAACGCCAGTACAATAATGCGGACTCTGCCCTCGCAAAACAACATCCACTTTTCAAACAGTGTCTCCTTTGGTGGAACTTATTAGCTGCCTTTGTGACAGAGGACTCCCCAATTCTGGACGTGGAAAGCTCTATAGAAAACAGCGAAACAGATCTTGCAGTCTATCTTGTCGATGGACAGATCCTACCCCATCCGTGGACAGGGTCTCTTAGATACTCATTGAGTCTCTTCTATCGAACGGCAAGAGTAATTAGAGCTGCAAGAACCTCCCACCGCCGGAGGCCAGAGGCTTTGGATCCCACATTGATTGACCTTACCTCCATGGCCGAAGAACTCGAGCTCAGACAGCAAGCCGAAAATCTCGAGGACAAGATTCTCTTCACTGGGTTCTCGTTTTATTGCGGGCCTGTCGATATTGGGGATTCAAACACGCCACCATCACATTTTCTTACCTTGGCCGAGGTATATCGCTGTACGGCACTGTTGCAAATTTACCATGTCTTCCCGGAAATCCTGGAAGAACGGCTTCAAAGTAATCAAGCCGCGGATGACGAAAGCCCTATACCGGCCCTCTTTCTGGTGTTGTTCCCAATGGTGGCCGAATGGTCATCGTGTTCGGTGGAAGACACACGACACACACTAGCACTGCATATTGTATCCCTCTTGGAGCAACTTCCTTCAACATCTGGAACGAAGGTTATGCAGCCCGTAGTTTTAGCATGCATCTCTAGCGATCTTGTTTTCTCGTCTGGGTCTGTGCTGGGCGCCATCGAAAATGCGATCCCCAGTCTGAATACACTGGATGTTGATATTGCGCAGGCCAGACGAAAGGTCAAAATGCGGTTGTCTGAACTTACCATAATCCTACCAAAGCTGCCAATGCAACGCATTTATAACGTTGTACATGAGACGTGGGATCGTGCGGACTCTGGGTTAGAGGAGTTCTGGCTGGATGTTATGCTGGATTTGAATTTGGAAACAATTATGGGATAGGCTCGGCATTTTATCCAGCATTATGGTCCCTGTCCACCGTCTCTATCTGTTCATCAACTTCAACTTGAATCCACTCGATGAGATCTGCCTTCAGGAGATGCTCCAATTTTGTAGATGACTCCCCCGTATATTTCACTATTTCTCAACGTCTTTTGCTTCTATATATCCATTTCCTTGTTCTTCTGCCACTGGGCAATCATTATTAGATTCGCAGTCTTAGGTTCAATCAACGGTCCATGGCGCCGTGGCAGAGGCCGCGACATACGTAGGCGAAGGTCCGTCGTTCCGATGACAACAGCTCAGACCATTAATCTGAAGATATTTTCAAAAACCGGTCATAATGAATCGTTCAATTCGATATCAACTTTCAAGCAACCATGAGTCGACTACCTTTGAAGACCACCTAGGTTTCCTAGCTGCTCGGGCTACATGTTTTTGATTCCCCATAGAGGCTGCTCCCAATACTGCTTCGATCTTCAGCTGACAAATAGGTCACTCTAATGCTACCTAGGTACCTATGCTACAAGCCTCTTTTTACAAACACATCCCGTTCAGAGTGTGTAGCACAACAATTTCCATTCCGCTACAGCCATTGGATCAAATGCATATTACTGGTGTAACGCTCAAGCTCTCGCAATCGGGCATATTTGAGTGCCTAACCCATGGCTTATGCTTATCCGCAGCTCATCTCCGGGTTGGAGGAACTGTGGCGGGCTCTGTGAGATGCCAATACCACAAGGCGTTCCGGTGATGATGACGGTCCCGGGCAGTAATGTGTGGCCCTAATACTCAGAATTAGTTCTATTTGTTTGGAAGGGACAGTCATTCTGTACCTGAGAAACATAAGACACAATTTCTGGTATGCTGAAGATCATGTCATCGGCGGATCCATTCTGCATGATCTTTCCATTGAGACGGGTCTTTAAATTCAAAATTGCAGCATCGGGGATTTGTTCTGAAGACACGATACATGGACCGAGTGGGCAGAATCCATCCTGATGGAGGTTAGTCATGATCATTTGGGCATTGACTAGATCAGCATACCATTCCCTTTGCATAAGACCACTGTGATGTCTTCTCTTGATGCTTGCGGGCTGTCACGTCATTGGCGGTTGCATATCCCAGAACATAGTCCCCAGCTTTGGACACCGAGACGTTCTTGCATTGCCTGCCGATTATAATCGCCAGCTCAACTTCATAGTCTGCTTCATCATAATCCACGTTGGAGGGAAGTATAATCGGTTCGGATGCAGATGCAATGCAAGTGCTGGCCTTTAGAAACACACTGCACGGTATCAGCAAGTGTTAAAAGCAAAAGCAGATATACTAACGTCGGCGTGTTTGGTAGAGTCAACTTCATCTCGGCCGCGTGCTCCTTATAGTTTAGGCCGACGCACCGAACAGTCCCAGCTTCGACTTGCGAGACTGGAGATAGCAGTTCATCAATGGTTTTTACTTCACCCGTGAATGGAGCATCATAATCCAATGCCGAGTTACCAGCCACGACTTTGACTGATACTTCAACATTCTTCTCTATGGCCTGACCCACTATGAGTCCGTCAGTACGGGATGGACTCTCTTGAACTTGAATATGCCATACCATCAATATCCGGATTCACTGGCTCCCCGCCATATATTTTACCATCTTCCGCTCTGAAACGAACCCATCGCTTCCAAACCTGTGACACATTAGAGCTACTCCAACAGGGTCTTGGTGAAGCGCTTACTGGATGTTTTGCTGCCGGGGTGTCTTGGAACTCCATTTGATTCATGTTCGACACTCCCATTTTGAGAGATAGAGGTGACATAAAAGATTTTGGAATGATAAAAAGTGCGAGTGTGCTTTGCTTCCTTATCAATGGGCAGTTCTCCATACCAAATAACCCGTATCGGGAAATTCATCGGGAAATTCGTCAGATAAGATAAGTCAAAGTTCGTAATTGCCGATGCCAAGACGATAAAATGCGGGGAACCCCCTTTGGGTAAAAGATAGCGATAGCTGATCAATATATGAGATTGCAGGCAATGTGAGAAGGTATTGAAATATCAAAAGCACTTGGATACTGCCAATTTAGGGAGGTGAGATGTAGGAAAATTTAGTATTCTTTTAAGCTTAAAATGCCCCCAAGGTAAGACGATGGACGAACCTTGGAGCTAATGCACGAAAAGCCTTGGTCATTACCGGCTTATCCTCCAGCCCTAGACCTTATCTCTTGCAATGGCACAGACTTTTAATTGGTGGCTATCTACCACGTTCGGGAAATCCTTCGTCCCATCTTCGCCAAGTACTCGAATAAACCGAAGGAATTTCCCGATCATTGATAACGCCTGTAATACTTTTGTGGATATATAAGAACCGATGGGAATTGATTCCACTCATTATGATATACATGTATACTGCTCAAAAATGGACAAAGAGACAGATATCAAACAAACCGACTTATCCTCGGACCACGATGTACAGATGGGCAACTTCGTAGTTGACCCCATCCGGGAGAAAAGGCTACTATGGAAGCTTGATCTTTGCATTTGCCCTTTGGTGATGCTGATTTTCTTGGTTGCATACCTTGATCGAAGCAACTTGGGGTAAGATGTTAATCCACACAGCAAGAATTCGTATCGCTAACTCCTGGCTAGAAATGCAGCTGTTGCCGGAATGCCGGTAAAGTCGTGTCCACGTTTTGCGAAACAGTGGGTTACTGACTTAGCTCTTACAGGAAGATATTGGTCTAGTTGGAAATGAACTAGGAAGTGAGATTATCCTTGTCCAATATTCAAAGCTATAGCTAACAATACTCGACCAGATGCCGTGTCTTTGTTTTACGCGACCTACGTCTTCTTTGAGATCCCGTTCTCAATGCTCCTCAAGAAATTACGTCCAAACAGACTCATTTCTGCATTGATCATTGGCTTCAGTGTATCCATATTGGCTGCTGGATTTATCAAGAACGCTGCCGGGCTCTATATCACTAGACTATTCCTCGGTGTCTTTGAGAGTGGCCTATTTCCGTGAGACTATCGGCTGCCTTAATAAACCCCTGGAAAAAGACTAATTATTGCACAGGTGCTTGACTGTTCTCTTGACCACATTTTACAAGCGCGAGGAGCAAGCACAGAGAATTTCGTATCTGTTTGTGTCTGCTGCTCTGAGTGGAGGGTTTGGTGGACTGTATGCGCAACTCTCCCTGTTCAATCAACAACGATGGCTAACACAAACCTTAGACTCGCCTTCGGACTGGTCCGCCTGGATGGTGCCGGCGGTCTTGAAGGTTGGAGGTGGCTTTTCATTGTGGAGGGCATCATGAGCGCGGTAGTTGGTATTGCAACGTTCTTCCTCCTTCCAAACAACTACGAAACTGCCTACTTCTTGAATGACGACGATAAAGAGCTGATGCGCATGCGCATGCAACAGTCAGCGCGGTACGCTGATACTGAAGAGTTTGATATCAAGGAAGTGTGGAAAACACTGAGAGACCCCAAGAGTTGGCTCACCTCGTTCAACCAAATTTGTGTCAACATTTGTTCCTTCGGGTTTAGTACATTCTTGCCTACTATTATCCGAGGGTTTGGCTTTGACTCGGTCAAGACTCAACTGCTCACTGTCCCTGTGTATATCTGGGCCTCTGCGTTTTACCTGGTCATTGCCAATTTATCCGACCGAGTGCGTATGCGAGCTGTCTTCATGGTCCCCCTGTGTCTGGTGACGGCTGTCGGCTATGCCATGCTTCTGGGAGTGGATGTTCATGCGCGAGGTCCATTATATTTTGCGACATATGTGTGTGTTACTGGGTATGTATTTTCCGTTGTTGGGAGTATCTATTGAACAAGTATTAACCTCCCTTCTAGAATCTATGCTGTGGTTGGACTTGGGGTCAGTTGGAACGCCAACAGCCATTCTGGCTATTACAAGCGTGCCATGGGAGTGGGCCTCCAGCAGACTATTGGAAATTGCGCCGGTTTGATTGTAAGTGGAGTATCATATTGGCGTGCTCGTATTGTGGCATTGACCTCAAAGCTAACATAACTCAAGGCTGGTCAAATATACAAGTCGCCAGTAAATGGACGATATGTGGTCGGTCATTCCGTTTCGCTTGCTGCTATCTGTCTCGCATTCTTGGGCAATGCTGGCATGTGGACTTTGCTCCGATATCACAATACGAAGCGAGACCAACTGTCACCGGAGGAGAGGGAGCACATTATCAGCTCAGGATCATATGAAAAGAGAGGCGGAGATTTCCATCCGGACTTCCGCTATATCCTGTGAATGTATTTTATACTGCTAGATATTGAGATGAACCATATAATTTCTCTAGGAGATCAAATCCATCATAGAGGTCAGGAATATAGATTGAGAGGTGTTTGTACAACCGACCAGAATGACCCAAGAAATTCCATACGCTAAGTGTGATATGCAATTTCGGAGATCATTTGCTCCCAAGTTTCCAGATCAGCAGCCTGTGGAAACGCAAAGTTCTGGTCTTCCCAGATTGCAGGCCACATTATATCGGGCGACGAACCAGGTGGGTGGCTGGGCGAGCCATCCGCTATAATAGACTCGATGTTCATGGGCGTCGACATCATTGGATTCCTTTCGCGTTCTTGTGCCATAAAATCTGGCAATACTTCAGGTGGACTCATTGGGGCTTGCTCACCTGGCTGCTCGGTGGCTTGGGCAAGTCCAGTGGTACGGAGTATACATAACTCTACCACTTTGACCTCGGCAAGACCAAACTCATTTAGCCAAACATCCTTCCGTAACCTTTCACAGTATTCCTCGAGATCGTTCAAGATTGCCGTAGTCTGAGGAGCAATGGGTCGCCGCACTGCGATAATGCCTAGGATGAAGGCACTGTTGAACATATTGTGGGTGCCCAGTGTCCATCTCATATTTTCTGACGTTCCATAGTTCAAAGACTGCAATCTGATTTTCAGGTCGGAAGATGCAGAGGAGATGCATGCCTCATGACTAAGGCTGAAACGATTGGTTATAGACTCGCGCAGAAGATAAGGTCGGTGCAGAGTGATTCTGGCAAAGTGGAAAGCAGAATGTAGATAGAGGCGATGCCAAGGTAGAAATGTATGCGACCCATCCAGTGAGATGTCGGGGTCTTCCACGGCAAAGTAGGATGGGAGTTTGTCTTTCCATGCGACAAGTTTGTTGTCCATTTCGATTACCATATCGTACGACGCAGGATATAAACCAAAGCATCGGTCTTGAATTTCACCTGCAATTTTACCTAGACCACTACCGAGTAGTGTGACTGTGCTCATTGTAGGATAGCTCAATGCATGGGCTGTCGCAGTAGAGGACTCTTCATCAGTCAATTCATCCAGCCATATATTATCAGGTGCTTTGATGAGACACATATGATCTGAGATCGCGTATGGTCTGCCGAGGGCGAGGGCAATGGTTTTGTCAAGCAAGTACAGATTGCTCCAAAGGCGTCTTCTGGTTTCAGTGGCTTTTCTCGATAATCCCCATTTTTCTCCATCTATGTGCATGCCTTGTGCTTGGGCCATGCGCATGGCAAAGCTGATGGTGAGCCAGCTCTCTGCGACTTGTCTGGTGTATAGCAGATATCGCGTAACCATCAGCCCTGCTCTGACAAGATCTAAGCTCTCGCCGTGAAAAGAGGGTGAGATAACGATCGCCCTCCTGGCAGCCCAGTAGAACCGAAGAGAAGCTTCTTCGCTTTCTTTCCGCTTTTCGGGCGAAGAGATCGTAGGACTGTCCACTAGCACGCTAAAAGCGAGAATAATAAACAAAAGAGCAAGCCAGCGAAGATCTACTCCAGCAATTTCGTCGAACCCAAATTTGCGGCCCCAGAACTCTGCAAATTGAGATCTGAAGGTTTCAGGGTGAACCGTGTCGATAGCCCAGTTGATCTCGGTCAGGAATTTCTCGATTAGCCGATCAACAGTCACTTTATTCCGCGGTAAGAGGCCAAGTAAATCCCAAACTTGCGAAAAGGGCCCAGAGTCATTTCGAAACGATTGCAAAGAATCCTTGCTAGACAGCAGGCTCATAGGGGGCAGATCGGGAGCTGACTCCTGAATCATACGGGCTGCCACCTGGTGGCCAAAGTATGAATTACCGAAGAAGCTAGGTGCTCCCCGGGCAATATACAACTGCCCCAGCTCTGTGCCCTGGGTGTCTGCTATAGAGCTTCGCTGTTAGCCGTGATCTACGTTTTGACAGTGGGGATATCTGGTACCTGCTGTCCTCACTCTTTCTGGTGGCATTGCATGACCCTTCTCTTTTTCCGCCCACTGACATAGATGAGGAATCCCACGCTGAATACAACGAGAACAAGGCAGTTCTCTGTTACATTTCTGCTTCCTGGAGTGACATTGAGAACAGGAAGTTGTTTTTCTTCCCCGTCTTGCTCTAGGGCGGGGGTCGAGTGCCACCTTGTTTTTCTTTCCTTCGTTGGTACTCATTGTTTTACGGAATTCGAAGAAGCGAGTACAACATGGTCAGGAGTTGTTGAATTGTAGATAACACAAAGGGACCTCGGGAGTGGCCCGAGGCTTAACTAGCTGGAGTGTCTTGGCCTTGGGAATCAGGGCCATACAGTTGCTACCACAGAGTTTATTGTATTTATTCCCCAATGCAACTAGAACTAGACAAATACCTGTTCTTGCTTGACCTTTATTGATTGAATTACTATATCATACTAGAAAGCCTAGCAATTGAGCATGTAGTTAAACTAGTCTGGGCCTGCATATTTAGGTTTTTCTTTCAGGCCTCGGGAGTATATAGAGCCAGAGTGGGCTCGTCAGACGTAGACTAGAAGAATTGAGAGAAATAATCTGGGAAATAGTAAAAATAAGGGAAATATTAAGATGAAAAAAACGAAAGGAACCTTGGAAGTATGAAAGTACCTCACCTGGGCACCTGGGCATCCTGGGGTGCTTAGTCATCTGACGTCAAGCGCGTTTGTTTACATTTTGGCCTCGCTTCGTCTTGCGATGCTTCCCCACTGTGTCTCGACCCATTTACCCCCTGCACTAACTACTCTTTAGGTTATTGCAATCTTTTGATATTTGTTGATTCCTTGCATTTGCGTCTTCAATTATGGCGATCCGCCGTTCCGCGCGCCTCCGCCGTGCCCAGGAGACCCCGGAGGTAAGTAACAGAGCAACAACACCGGTTGTGGGACAGGTTAGTCGAAATCGGTAAACTAACTTCTATTGCCTTTTTTCAGGTTGAAGAAATGACCCCTCAGCCAGTCACAACTTCCAGACTTCACTCTGTCGCCGAAGGCGAGGAGACTGACAGCTCCGAACTCCCACACATCCAAACCCCCCCTTGCGAAAACTCCATCTCAAAAAACTCCTCGTGCGTCCGCTCAACAAAAGCGCGCTAGTATTAGGACCCCCACTAGTGTGACTGCGCCTCGTCCGTCCCGAGAAGAAATGCATCCCAGCAAGGCGCAACAGAGCACAACCAAGCAGGCAGACTCAGGCCTGCTCCTCGGATTCAATCCCATTAAGAAAGATGCCAACGGCAATTTAATCAAGAGCAGCATCAGTGACAATACCCCGACCAAATCCAAAGCATCTCCTGCGACCGATCAGTTTGGGACTCCTGGATTCGAGTACAAGTTTCACTCCCAGGAGACGGAACTCAGCGACGAGGCCAAACAGCTGATGGAAAGCGTCCGTGCTGATGCTGCTCGAATCAAGGCGCAGATGGTCCAGGAAAACTCAGAGCAAAAACATGAAGATCGCGAAACTGAACAAAGTCATGGAGACCGGAAGATTGCCATGCCAAAAGGAAAAGCCAACCGCTTCAGCGACATCCACATGGCCGAATTCAGAAAAATGGACTCTATTGCTGGGCACGCTTCGTCTTTCCGTGCTACTCCCGGTCGCTTCCAGCCCGTTACCAAATCCCTGAAGCGGTCCAAGTCCAAGGCGCAGCTTGACGAACCAGAGAGTCAGAACTCGTCCCCTTCTCGCTCTGCCACTAAGATCTCAAACCTGTCCACTCCCACGGCCGCTACAGCGGCTAAGCGTGTCAAACACAACCAAAGCGAAGATACATCCACTCGTCATGAATCAAAGGATCGACCACAGAAGGTCGAAACCCCTCGCCGACCTGCTGGTCCTCGCCCTCGCCCTCGCGCGAACGTTCGCAGTTCCCTCATGACTCCCACACATGCTTCGCTTGCCCGCACGACCTCTACCAGCATCAAGGCTCCGAAAACCTCAATGATTCCATCCTTGAAATTATCTCCGGCTGCCAAAACAATCGCCTCACCTCGAACTCCTCGCACTGATTTTAATCCACGCCTCAAGGGCAAATTACCCACCATTGGGAGCCTTAGATCTATTCTTCGTCGGCGTCAACCACTCTTCTCCCGTGACCCTGCCAAAATTGCGTCTGGTACCCACGTTGCGGCGCCCGATTTCAATCCCAAGTCGCTCTTTGAAGGAGCCGGTGACGTGAGCGACTCCGCTCCAACCCCTTCGCCAAAGAAGCACGTTGAGTTCACTCCGAGTGTCAAGTCTCGTCATGAACTTGCTGTCGCCTCACCCTCTCCTTCCAAGGCCTCTTCCGCTCAGCCTCGTTCCATGGCCGGAGATGTGGTCTATCCCACTCTCCCGACTCTCACCCCAGAGAAGAACTCGGCTGTCTTGACGTCCACTACTCCTACTTCCGAATTTAAGTCCATTCGTCATGTTCGCAAGTCGGATGCCGGTGGAGAGCCCGCTCCATATGAGGAGCTTCCCGTGGTGACTCATGGTATTGCTCATGGCATTGTCAATAAAAAGAGGCACCGCAGTGAAGTTAATGACGACGATGCTCCCAGCACTGCAAATTCTGAGAATGTGCCACCTACCAATGTTCAGTCTGATGAGCGCAGCACCAAGAGGTTCAAGTCCAACCCGCCTACCCCAAGCCCGGTGAAGAAACGTCTTACCAAGACTCCTGTGCGTCCTTCTGGCCAAATTGGCACTCCCGCTAGCAAGCAAAGGAGTCGCGGTGTTCTGAGCATGAGCCGCCTCAACATGCTTTCGAAGCCGAAGAGACAGGCCTAAACATGCAATGACCTAATGAACAAACACATGGCGCGTTAGGCCGCGTCTCTGATGAATTGTTTCTTTTTGAGCCTTATGATCAACCTAGTACCTGATTTTTGTTACTACCTTTGTTACCACCTTTTTTTTTCTACCTTCTGGACCTTGCAGTCCAGCCCACGCTGCAGTAATGCTCCTTCTGCGGTGTCAACGAACCAACATTTCCATTCTTGATTTGTATCTACCACTAACATTTTTGAGGGTCTTTGGACCCTCGCCACCTTACGGAATATCTTCTTTTCGTGCCTGGTGTTTGTTTTTCTACCTTGCTTTTTTTTTCTTTGCCTGTTCCTTGGGTAAACCTTTGGTGGGAAACATGGCGTTTACGGTTATGCTTTCGGACTATTGCTATTGGAACGGTGCCGTGGTGCTTTTGTTTCTGTGTATGTATTGTCAAGAGAATTTTCAAACCAATTCTGTGATGAAAATCCTGGGCACAGTAGAAGATGGTCAGTTGTGTGCATTCTAAACTATCGATGTCCCCAACGACGTAGAGTGAACAATCCGCTAGATTATGTCATTTTTGGTTTACGAAAAAGGTTAGGTTGTGGTTGAATCAAAGGATTTGCTATGTACAACATACAGAAATTAGAATCTCCATCCATTGTGGGGAGAGATCAAAGAAGCTAACAATACATGAAGGGTTCAGAGAATAGAAAGAAGAACGAGCAAAAATCAGAAAGCCATCCCAGTGGTAGAACAAATACTAAAAACAAGCAATTATGCTCCGGTCTGCCGTGCAGACAAGAGCCTCCATGGCATAGGACGGAGAATGGTACAGTGGCATTAAGCATGACGATCATTTGGGGGTTGTGAGGATATGGGTGTGTTTTCGGGGAGGGTTGGGTCGAAGTGGTGTGGAAAGGTGAATCAAACGTAGGGGAATGGAGAATGGTAGATATGCATCTGACATGCAAGCAAAGAGGGGTAGACATCGGGCCTGGACTGCTGGGGTAAGCTCCGAATCGGGCATGGGCGGCGCAGTATGGATCAATTTTTCATGGTCTCTAGGAACGAATCCAGGTTGTATTCTTCCTGGTACTGGCGGTCGTCCCAGAGCTCGCCCAGATCGTCTAGCCAGCCCTTCTTGCCCTTCTCCTTAACCTCGCCGTCGATATCAACCATGTCGACTTCGTTGCCGGCTGTGTCGCTTGGCTTCTCGGCTGTGTCTGCCGTTTCGCCGAGATTAAACAGGTCAAGCAGTTGGTCTGTGTCCATCGTTCCGAGCCCGGCGTTCTGTTGATTGACGACAGTGGAGGCGACGTCGATCTTGAATCGTTGCAAGCTGTGGCGAGGTTCGTGTTAGTATTTGTGCATATGCGGACTTCATGTGGAATTATAATGACTTACTTCAGGATCTTCTCCTCCAGGGTACCTCGCGTGATCAAGCGGTACACGTTGACAACCTTCTTTTGACCGATACGATGGGCACGGTCCATAGCCTGGATATCTTTCTGTGGGTTCCAGTCGTGCTCCACGAAAATGACGGTGTCTGCACCCGTAAGGTTGAGACCCAATCCACCAACACTGGTAGTCAGGAGTAAGACGTCGTAACTTGGGTCGGTGTTGAATCGGTTAACGATGTCCTGGCGCTTGGTTGCTTCCACACCTCCATCCAGTCGAAGGTATTGCACGGAGGGGAGGAGTTTCTTGAGGACATCGTTCTGTACAATGTCCAGCATCTCCTTCATCTGGCAGAACACAAGGGCTCGGTGGGGGCTGACATAGCTTGCGCCCGTATCCAGCTCACCCTCTGCTGTGTGGTCAAGGCCAATACCGCAATCCACCAGCAAATCTTTCAGGGCGTTTAGCTTGGGCGCGTGGGAAACATCTCTGATGTTCGAACGCTTGGCACTCAGGAAGCTTTGCACCTCGTTGTACTGCTTGTGTCCTTCCTTGACAACCAAGGCAGGAGAGTTACATAGACGTCGCATGTATTGAAGCGCCTGGAAGATATGCTCTTTGTCGCCTCGGTCTGCACTGCCCACCTTGTCTGCCAACTCCTTCTGTTCCTTCTTGGTGAAGTCCTCGAACAGTTTCTTCTGCAGTTCACTCGGGTCGCAGTAGTAGTTCTGGATAATCTTGGGAGGGAGATCATTCAAGACTTCCTCTTTCAGACGACGGAGTAGGAATGGCAGGACCTGTTTGTGCAGTGCCTCAATTGCTAAAGCACCTGCCTCTTGTTCCTTGGAAGAGGATTTGCTGAAACGGCTCGCTGCAATGGGCTTGGCAAACCGATCCAAGAAGACCTTCTCTGTTCCCAAAAAACCGGGCATCAAGAAGTCGAACAGCGACCACAGTTCCAGGACGTTGTTCTGGATTGGAGTGCCAGACAGGATCAGGCGGTGGTTGCTGGCTAACTTCTTAACTGAAGACGTGATCTTGGCCTTGGGGTTCTTGATAAGATGGCCCTCGTCCAGCACGCAGTAGTTGAAGTTGATAGGAGAGAGGATATCGTTGTCATTGCGGCAGACATCGTAGGAAGTTACAATGACATCTGTGGTGGCCAGCAAGGGTTGAAGTCTCGCCCGTTCCGCGGGAGGCCCGACATATGCAATGCAACTGAGGAATGGAGCATACTGCTTGACTTCCTGCTGCCAATGTCCAGAGAGAGAAGGTGGACAGACAATCAAAGAAGGCAATTTTCGAGAGTCTGTAGATTGACTCTTGGCGAACTCTTCCGCTCGCATATGGTGGTCACTCGCCACGATGCAAATGGTCTGCAGTGTCTTGCCAAGGCCCATGTCGTCGCAAAGAATACCATGCAGATTGTAGCGGTTGAGGAAAGCAAGCCAGTTGACACCGTCCTGCTGATAAGGTCGGAGCTCGGCCTTGATCGCGACTGGAATTTCGAATGGCTCGACCTTGCGCACATCCAGCATCTGGGCCATGAACTTCCTCTCTCGGTCACGGCCTTCGAGCAACTCTGCTGAGAAGCCAGGAGGGTCGGGAATACCGGCCTCCAGAGGAACCAGTTTGACGAGGGTGGCGAATGATGTTGTCGCTAGAAGACGCACATCGTTGTCGGAATCGCTCATTCGGCCAAGGACAGGAACCACCAGGAAGATGACATAGGGGAGAATCCCATCTTCCATAACATGGATCAAATGATAGATGCATTCAATCGCACCTTGACGGTGATTGACATCCAATCCATTGTTAATAAGTGGCAAGACCTTTTCAACCAGCATTGTCATACCCTTGACGGTGATGACACTACAAATCGTAGCGAAACATTTGGCTGCTGCGTAGCGAATGACAGACAATCGGCACTGCAAACCCTTGGCGATAATCGGCATGAGGTCGATGACCCATTCGTGGAGACCTGGATCAAACTTGGGTAGCAGAGCCCGCAGTGTAGACAGACCATCCACAATTTCTTGGCCAAGTTCATTCTCTGGGTTGGTGATATCCTCGGGAAGTTCATCTCCGGCCAAAGCATCCCTCAATGGCCGTTCAACCAATTTCGCGAGATTCGGGACCTTCTCCAACAGCTCAGGGCCGAACTTGACTGCCAGTTGCTCCAATGCATCCTTAGCACCACGACGCATAATCCGTGCCTCTCTTGCCTCTCTTTCGAATTTGGCCGCATCTGGATGGTCGCGTCGGTCTTCTTCTTTGCGTAGCGACAAGATTGATTTCTCCAACTGCACGTTGTGCGGGAATTCGGGTGTCTCGGAAGTGTCCACACAGCAGTATTTAACCAAGTTTCCAATGATTTTGTCCACTGGTCCACGCTTCGTGGCGGCTGTGTAGTGTTCGATAAGGCCTGCCACTGCTGTCGCAGAGCGCTGCTGAAGTTCTACATTCTCCTCCTTCTTGACACTGTCCATCATGCCCTTGATGATGTGGCCAGGCTTCTTGGGGATATCCCGCAACGCGACCAGGGCACCAGCAGTGGCAGCAAGAACACGCATGTCCCGCTGTTCCCTCATCAGTCGCGCCTCCTCCACGGCGGATTGGGCAGTGGTACGAGTGTCATTCAAGACTTGGGTAGCAGTGATTCGTTGGGCCGGTGTGAGGTTTTTCTTCAGTCGATCAAAGTCAGGACCAACGATTTTCTCGGCGTCCGCCAAAGAAAATGCGTTAGGCCCAGCTTCTGAGTCGCCCTGAACGACCACAGCCAAGGTTGGCAGCCGGGAAGGTGCCACATGCGCATGATCCCGGAAGGTATTCAACAATGAATGGCACTGGGAGCGCGCGACATGAAGGTAGCACGCAATGTCGGAATACCAGGCTGGGCGCTCGCCTTCGAGAATTGGTCGCAGACGGTCACACAAAGACGAGCGATATTTGCTCTCTGGTCCGGATTGGCGAGCATACTCTTCCAGGACCATGGCCGACGCAAGCTGAGTTGTGGAAGCAGAAGCATTAAGGCCATCCAGAATTGCCGGCCAAAGGCTGGATAGTTCATTCTTGTCCCAGAAAGATATCAGTGCGCCCAACGCCTTCGCGGCGTAGATCTTGGATCTCAGCATGGTATCTGCACCAACGAGGTCAATATCACCGGAAAGCATGTGTCCGTCCACGTTGTGAGCTGAGGGCGGAGGTGGCTCTTTCTCTTTCTTCTCCGATTTGCGCCTCCGTCCCACCTTGGTCTCAGCGCCGCCCGGAATAGAAGCAGGCGGAGAGCCTTTCGAAGGCGTGGGAGCCGGGAGAGCGGCAGAGAATGGCAGACCAGACGGTTTGATAAAGAGTGAGGCGTTCATGGGGATGGGATACCGGGGAACGCCGAAAGCACCCAGAGTCAGAGTGATAAGAGGCTGGATGGAGCCTGATAACTCCTCTTCGGATTTGAATGAACCGCGCATCTCAACAACGTTAAGTAGTTCAGACCACACTTGGCCAGACAGCTTCAAAACACCCTCGTTGCGCTCCACGAGAAGATTTTGGAAGATCAAGCGCAATGCCTTGCCATCTACCCAATCTGTAGTGCCCTCGCCCTCCAGCTTCAAGAATGTCATAAGAGCCCGAAGGACAGCCGAGCGAACGCTGGTGATAGTATGGCGGAGGAATGGGTACAGGCGAGGAACAAGTTTTCCAAAGGACGCTTCCGGATCATCTGCAGCATTAGCCTTCATAGCATCCAGAACTTGGGAGAATGTGCACAGCTTGGCCAAAAGGTCCATCACAGAGCCTGTACTAGCACTAAGATCATCCTGTAGATTGGAGAGACAGTCCCAGACGATGTTCATTAGAGGGCCAAGAGTGCCAGTCCGGGAGGACACAAACTCCTCTGCAATGGGAACAAGTGTGGCGGCGCTAACAGCCCGGACATCATCATCATAATCAGCGAGGCCTTTCATGACAGCTTCCAGGACGCCATCCATCATGTTGGAATCCTTGACGAGCAAGTCCTTTCGAACTGCGACAAGGTACCGCAGCCCGATCATACCACCATGGCAGACCTCCCATACGGGGCGGTCCAGTCCCAGGTCGGTCTGCATTATGATACGGTATAGGCATCGGTAGGCCGCTCGAACTGAGTTCGGGTGTAGGTGTGAGAGAAGAGCACCGAGAGTCTGGCCCACAGTTTCGCGAATCGGCGCAACCACATTGTCTGAAATGTAGTCACCAAATCGGTCAAGCATCAAAACGCAGAGTAGTCGACATGAGAGGTCATCCAGCCACCGGCGATTGAGTGCATCGTTTTCTGAGCGAGATTTTCCATCCAGACGGCCAGCTGCCGCGCCCTGGACCCTGATTACTTCACGCAGGGCCATTGCCGCGCCATGTCGAACTTCCCAATTGGAGTCAAAGATGTCCATAGTCAAGAATTCACACATGTGTTCCAGAGGCCATCCTGCACCCTGCTCCACAATATCTGGCAGGATATGAGGTCGCTCTGGGACGGCAGCTCCTTTGAATTCAGTAACAAGCTTAGAATCGTCATCTTCTTCAGTGCGTTCAAAGGAAAAATAATCAGGTTTTGTCTCGCCGTTGTGATCATCTCCATTCTCTGCTTTGACAGGATGAGGAGTTGTAGCCAGAGGGGTTGTGACAATATCGGACTGTCGACGAGAAGACAGGTCCACGACACGGACTTTGTTGGCCCCCATCTTGGCATTCTGTTTGTTTTTTTCGTTTGAGCTGATTGAGCTGTCGCTTGCTCAGCCCTCCGTCTTCCTTTGTCGCACTTTCACTAGGCGAGGAGGGCCGGCGGGAGGAAGCTTCATGAAGACTGCTATGATGAGGAATTGGCGGGATAGTAGGCTCATGCTTTGGGGCAGGAGTTACCACTTTAGGAGCCAATTCGATATCCTCGATCAGGTCTTCTTCAAGGTATTCGCCTTCGAGGCCCAGCCTCGAAGTCAAAGTCTTCTTTTGGTGCTGCAGACGTGAAGCTGGCTCCATGGATGCGAGGGAGTACTCGTACTCCTTGCCCGCACTGCCGAGCAGCCGCTTTCCATATTTTAATACGGAAGGGATGTCCAGGGTGTCGAGTTTGAGGAAATCATCGGCCGGAATCGGCTCTTCGGATTTGATCTCGGACTTAATCTCCACGTCATCTTCCTCTGCTGCAGACTTGATCTGGAGTCCATCGTCCTCATTTGGATCATGGACATCGGCGTTAGAGACAATCAGTCCAATAGCTTTGGCAGAAGCTGTCCTTGTGTCCCAGGACTTGGATCTGAGGTACGGCAAGATGCGTCCGAGTAGATTAAACAGTTCATCTGGATGCTGTTTCTGCACATCTGCAAGCTGCTGAGCAGCAGTATTACGAATCAACTGAGTACTGCCCGTCTCGAGTAGCCTGTATTGTCATTGGTCAGTGGTCAGTTTTTTCACGTGATCAAACGCATTGGTCCATATACTCACGTGACGAGACGGTCGAGTCTGTATTTGGTTAGCTTCACGTGATAGACGCGTGGTGATTGGATGAAGGGGCTTACCGGGAAGCCATCGCGGGTCTTCACTTTTCTCGCGACTATGCGGCACAATTTGAATAAGGGAAAAAGGACAAAAAAAGAACACCACAAAGACGAGAGCAATTGCGCGCGACAAAGCGCGCAATTAGGGTGGAAGGACCTCGATATGAAAAACAAAGACCAAACGCCCAACACCTCAAGCCGCGATGCTGAGTCAGCGGGGGGATTTAGATTTAGTACACAAGAGCGAGGGTCGAGGTCACGCAGCCGGGTTTATATCATTGGGGGTGCTTCTGCCCGGCGCGCTGGTCCATGTTTGGGTCACTCCGCCTAGGCCGTTTTTGGTTTAGCGCGGGCGGTGGGCTTCCACTCACAGCGCGCCGATTTTTTTTTCTGCTGTTGAAAGAATCACGTGAGTTCATGAAACGCGTTAGATGACATAGAGCATTTAGCTTGATCGGAAATACCCTAATTTGATGTATTGAAGATGTTGTGATGAAGCGAACTTCCGCGAATAATGCACCTGGGCAAGTAAAGGGTTATCTAAGAATTCGTTCAAGCTTTGGAAGGAAGGAGCAACGCCAAGACATGCCAGATGGCCTCTTCAAAGTTAAGGAATCACAACGATCAGCAACGCATGTACATTGATGTAGGTGATACTAGTCTGATGATATTTGAAAGATAAGTGACTAGATTTTGGTGCAAAAAGTGATGCTTGCCATACTTATATACACGTATAAGGTGTCAAGCGAATTTTGTTGCCGTCCAAATGCATCGATCGACCTCCCGCCGAACTATATATTTGCTACGGAGTATATAGATTCCCGTCTTTAATACCATTTTTTCCCCTCGTGCATTATTTTCTACTTTCCCCGGCGAACTGAGCATGTAAATCATGCCTACGAGCTCAGATTTTAGTTATGAAGATAGTAATAGGCTTATGGTGTCATACCATCTCCAAAGTATGACTCCTTGAAGTATACAAAGAGAAAAACTAGCGATACAAAGAACCCCGGGATAAGCGGCTAGGCGCGTGGGACTGGCAAGGAGACCTATTTCCCTGTGCCCGATCAAAATCCATGCTTATATTGTCAAGTAGGCTTCTGAAATCGCATATATCTCGTCCTACACGGCTGCTTCTGCCATTTCCAAAATCGACTGGACGGAGCACACCAAAATTAAGAATAAACACTGTTTGTCGTTGAATTGGAGTATCATTTCGCACCGACAGACCTGGAAGTCAACCAGTTGAGCGTTTCTATACAGTCACAGGCTCCGGGCAAAAGTCCCGGGGCGAAAACACGGAATCACACGCATTGAAAAATAACAAGCACATCCTTCCCATTCACCGTTGGCTCAGCACATTGGCTGCATCCTCTTCCTTCCCGAGTAGGACCCAAGCTCCGGATTTGCTCAGCCTTGGGGGCGTTCTCTCGCGGGTGTGCCGCCTCGGCCTTGCGATAGGCAGCTTGCATCTTCATAGTGCGGAGAGCCTGTTGTTCCAATTTCCCATTATTAGACCCAGGTCCATCATTCAAGTGTACAGGTATCTCGATCGAACGGGGATTGCCCTTACCTCTTTCCGGTGGTGAAGGCACTCATAGTAGTCGTCCAGGGCGGGCACACACTTCTTCTTGCCGCTCGCACCATCGCCTGAGTTCACCACGTAGCAACCAAGAACTTCTTGCCAGAAGGGGTAGCAGCGGCCGGGACCTAGAAAAAGCCATACTGCGTTAGCCGGTTTTATACGCGGGGGCGGGAACTGGGTGCGCAAGTTGTGATCCGAGGCCATGCCGGCGCGGACCCGAGCAGGTTCTCCGGGAATGGGGGAAATGAGCACATACCACCGTTGTTACCGTAACCGGAAGCCATTGTGATGTGTAGAAGAAGGTAATTGAGTAAGTGGTAGGCACAGAGACCGCGAAAAAGGTGGTGATGAAGTGCCGGCGGATGCGACTTCCCTTTCGTTTCCGACTTGGTCTGTGCGCCCCGCCGTATGCAACATGGCCATCACCAACTATGAGGCCACCTCACTTGACTGCCCCCTCTCTTTAGCTTGATCATGGCTCTCGAAGAGCTGTCCGATGCGCATGCTATTCTACTAGCCACGCAACTCTGCGCAGGTGGTAATGTGGCGGACCTGCCTATTCTACAGGCCCGGTTTCCCCATTGTTTTCCGTTAGAACGCCTCCTGCGCATCATCTTGACCTTTCTCCCAGAGAGCACGGAGCCCTCTCAGTACACCTCTGTGCTACAAGAGCTAGCAAATAGCTCTAACCTGCCATCCGACCGACCGATCGATATCTCTGCCATCAAGGACTTGTCCGAATCTCTCGCAAGGAAGCGCGTGCGGAAGATTCATTTACGGCCACTGCAACGTCCTGATGAGGAAGACGAGATAGCTTCAGCAGATCCTTTGACCAAATTCCTTATCCACCGGGCACATTTGATCGACTCGGAAACAGCACTACAGCCTCTCATTCTCGATCTTATCATCCCGTTCTATGAGCACTCACCAATCGTTCGAACATGGCTGATATCAAGCTTATTACCATTACTTCGACTGAACTACGAATTCTACGCCCATCGCGACGAAACTATATCTCTTGAGATCCTTGAGTCTATGGACGATCAAACCGCGGTCAACATTCTCCTGTCTTTGATGAGCTCCGAAGAGAACAACATGGACTTGGTCAACAACCTGAGGGGTCTGATTGGACCTTGGCTCTATGGTGGTAATCGGTCAAAACGGCGGAGGCTTAACGAAGCAGCTCAGCAGAGTTCGGTGTCTTTCATTGAAGGCTCCGAGAAACCTCGAGCAACCGAATTGGCTGGATGGGAACATGTGAATGAATGGCTACTGTCGCGGAGTCTTGTCGACCGTGACAGCGTTGTGGGCGCATTCACCTATTGGGATGGACCATCAGATGTGGACTTGGGGGGATACGACAATGGTGGCACGCAATTGTCCGAAGAGCAGGCGAAAGATTTACAGGTTCGATACGGCCAGTCAGGTCTTGCTGTGGTGTATGCCCATGCCGACTCATCAATGGCTGTGCTGGAGGGCTCGTTCCAGGTATTGACAAGGGTCGCGAAGCTCCTCGATCTTGAAGACAGCTCGTACCTCACACCTGACTCAGAATTGCCATCTGTGCACTATGATACCGAGTCAATGTCCTCGACATCCCGTGCATCTCTATTGCAGAACTCTCTTTTAAGACCGACGAACCCTCTTACCAAACCGTCACCCCTGTCGATCTCGTTTCTCAGCGCTTTACTTCTCTCCCTCCGTATACTGACCGAACTTGGTCATCTGGTCCCTTGCCGGGTTGCGGCAAATATGTGCCTTCACAGCACCGAGGAAATGCAATTGGCCGAACTCAAAAGCGTGGTGGATTCTACTGTGAAGCAACCTAATTTAAACCAAGACTGGTCTATGGTTCGACAACGATTGCTTTGGCTTCGGGATTGGCAGGCGGAACAGTTCGACAACGCCTGGGATGAACCTTCACCACACCATGGACTTTTCTGGCGGATCCCGCGCGACACCGTTGAAACAGAGATCTTGAAGGCGCTGCTGGCAGCTAAAGGTAATGTGACCTAAATCCACTCTTTGTTGTCAATACTGATGTTATTTCTAGAGTATGAGTTGGCTATCGATATATACACCAACCCCAAATCAGCGCCACTCAAACCTGCCCAAGTGGAAGCTGCAGTCCAAGAGGCCATATTCACAGCGTATGATAATGCAAGCAACGGAAATCGAACCCGCGGCGGAATGAAGAGAGCTTATGATATGTAAGTGGTACTACTAAAAGAGGATATATGGACTCGATACTGACAACAATTAGCTTACAATCATTCACACCACACTTCCCAGACTCTGTTGTATTCAAACAGATCCACGCCCTCATCGCCGCAACACACGCACTCTCATACTATTCGCTGACCCTGCAACACGGCGTTCCATTCCAGCCTGTCAGCATTCGTGTCCATCACGATCCCATCCTTCTGATTGAGAAAGTACTCGAGCAAAACGCAAAGAGCTACACCAAACTAGACGATCTTCTCTCTATCGGACGAAACCTAGTGGCCGCAGACGTACCCACGCAAGCGGCATCACACGAAGCCGAAGACGAGCCAACTCACCATAAACCCCCAAAGGAGCACGCGCTCCTCACTGCAGAACGCCGCATCACCTCTCTAGCAATCGCCTCCGCTCTGTCTTCCAACGACTTCGGCACAGCCTACTCCTACATCCTAACCCGACTAACACCCCCGTCTTTCCTCTCAACCTCCTCCCCCCTCTTAAACACCACCTCCGTACCCGACGACATCACCTGGCGTGCCGTCTACAACGCGGGTCGCTACCGCGCCACAACACCAACCCACCCACCGCCAACCCTCCAATCCCAGATCTCGCACCTCTCCCAGCGAATGGAACTCCTCTCCCTCTCTCTCGTCCTCGTCCCATCCCCAGACCCGCTCCCAGAGATCCTCGGCGCCTGGCGTCGCTGCGACGAAGAGCTCACATCGCTGCGCGCACGCGAGCAGCAAGAAGAAGACCTCTGGGACAGAAAAGGCGACACATTGTCCTCGGTCCCGGGCGGATTCGGGCCCTCGGACTCAGAGCGTGACGCCTTTGACACGGAGCGACAGCGTGCGGCTCGTCGTGCGCGCGCTGCAATGCCGAACTCTCATCACCATGAGGCGCCCATGGGTCTATTTGAGGTTGCTCGTGGCGCTGCTTTGGCGCTGCATAAGAATGCTTTCCCGTTGAGGGGCGCAGCTGATGGTTCGGCGCCGCTTGCTCCTCACGACGGTGATCGGCCGCTGTCGCCGGATAGTGAGGGTCGTGTTAGGAAGAGGGATATGGTTAGCAATATGATGACTGGGGGCTTGGTTAGCGGGATTGGTTGGGTCCTTGGCGCCGATCCGGTGAATAAGAAGTAGGAGGTGGGGACGATAGGTGTCGCCAGTAACTGAAGGTTAAAAACCCTTACAGTTACTTCTGTGGTTGATGAGGATGCGTATTAAGACCTGTGCTGTATGTAGCTTTTACGATAACAATGAGACATATTTTTCTTAGAAGCGTACGGACTGGTTGTTAAAAATACTTGTTGGAAATATTTGAAACCATACATGGCTGGTGGCATATATGTACATAGTAGTAGGAAAAACCTGGAAAGTCTCCAGAGTTGATACGTTTTTTTTACTAGAAGATGGACGGTTGCAAATGGTCAAGTCCATACGTATATTCTTGTATCCGCATACATATAAACAAAGTCGAAGACAAGATGCAATGGTATTAAGTGCCTAAGTATGTCCCATAGGAAGTCTCCAAAGCATTGCAACACTCCGCATCCAGTGCAAGCGACAAAATAGACCCAAAATATAACCCTAAAGCAGAATAGGAAAGTGAGCTGTACACTCAAAACGAAAACGCGATATACGAAGATGGAGGATATGTCCAGGCTCGAAATGTGACAACAAAAAGACAAAGCAAAAGGAGAGAGACCAGTCCATCGTAAGGAGATGAGGGAGACAGTGAGAACCGAAGGAGAGGGTAAAAAGGATCGAAGGGTATGCGATGCATGGAGAATGTCAGGCCATCAAGGATCGTAGGAGGTGAAGCGTAGCCGATGATATTCGTGTCGGAAGATGAAAAAAAGGAAAAAGGATTTGCTGATGATAAGGGGGTATGAGAGTAATGTCGAGCCCCACGAGTTCCGGCCCGGGGGGATCCAGCGGAAAGCACAAAACGCAGATGGATACGAAGTAGAGTCGTGATAAACGGGGTTGAGTTGTTGACAGCCAGGTCAATCCTTGGGGTCCAGCCACTACTCAAAAGAAATGCAGCAAAGCAGTAAAGCACCCTCAGAAAGGGTGTTTGGGGACTTGTTTACTCTTTCCAGTCCCACACCTGCTTTATAAAGTTGGCCATGTTGACCTTCTTGTTTCTCATATCCTGCACCCATGGATGTTCCAGCATCCGCCAGGGTGTCGCACGTCGAGGGGGTTCTTTTTCCAAGCTGATAATCGAGTTAGTATAGAAAAATAAGAATTACAAGGACAAAGTACATACCAGCATTCGATGAAGTATTTGAAATTGTCCGACCAGCGAATGCCATTTTGTGGCTCATCCTTCAACTTGGGAATTGGCTGGCGGACGATATAAGTTAGGAGATCTATTAGCCCTGCACGGGGTTGCATCTCAGTCCCGTCAGCAGGGAAGGGGAATCGGTGCTGTGCGACTTCCAGCAAAGTCACACCGAGAGACCAAACATCGGATGTAATGGTGTATGATTGACCAGTAATGCGCTCGGGGGCCATATAGTAGGAAGTGCCAATGAAGGTGTTGGCATCACCCTTGGTGCCGAATTCACCGCTGACACCAAAGTCGCAGAGTTTGACCTTACCATCACGACACAGGAGAATGTTCGATGGTTTGATGTCTAGAAAAGCATTAGCCACTCATGGTCAATGTATACCGGGGACAATGGTCCGTACCTCGATGAATGATCTTTCGGCTGTGGAGATAGGTCAAGCCATTCAAGACACCTTCTGCCACCTTGCCAAGGACCTTCTCTCCGGTGCGGCCTCCAAGCTTTTTGACTTCTTTGTAGATGCTGTCTAGACTTCCACCTTCACAGAACTCCATGGCGATAGAGATGGTGCCAGTGGATTTGTCCATGAAAGCACCATAGTAGCGACAGATGTGGTGCGAAGCGCAGTCTTTGTTGAAGTTAAGTTCACGAACAATTTGTTTCTTGACATCAGGGTTGGGGTCCGTGGTAATGATCTAGGATGGAATGTTAGCCTCTATCACCGAGCGCAGGTATGCAAAAATCGACTAGCCAAAGCGACGCACC